CAAAACACCTATGATCAAAGCCGGACACAGCGCTTGTGATCAAACACCCGTTGATAGACCACCTATGATCAAAGACCCTCTGCTGAGAAAACACCTGTGGTCAAACCCCCTATGGTCAAACCCCCTATGATCAAACCCCCTATGGTCAAAGCACCGCTATGGTCAAAGCCCCGCTGTGGTCAAACCCCCTATGGTCAAAGCCCCTATGGTCAAAGCTCCGCTGTGGTCAAACCCCCTATGGTCAAACCCCCTATGGTCAAAGCACCTGTGGTCAAAGGTCCTAGGACCCTTGACACACCCAATGTTTAGAGCAACTATAACATATCACATGGTCTGTTACATTTAAATTATAGCTTGACACACTCAATGTCTAGCTATAACACATCACGTGATGTTACATTTCTAGCTTGACACACCCAATGTGTAGCATAACTATAACATAACAGGTCTGTTACATTTATAGCTTGACAACAATGTTTAGATTAGTTATAACACATCACGGGATGTTTTACATTGCTAGCTTGGCAAACATAATGTGTAGCATAACTATAACACATAATAGGTCTGTTACATTTCTAGCTTACCACAATGAGCAAAGTAAACAACATAGTGCTTGAACTAGCAGAGCCACGGGTCATTACGTCCAAATCTCCATGTGACTTCCTAGCACTGGTTAGCTTCGTGTAATTATACCATTTAACAGGCCTCAGCTAACGCTTGTTTTCTCTAACTCAAATGTCAACGCCAAATATTGGGGGTTAGCAGCGTGAATATAATTAGTCGACATGTGGATAATTAGCAACGCTAATACAATTAGTCGACTTATTCAGTTATTGATTTTTTATATTCTGTTGTTTATAAAAATTAATATCTGTATGTATGCATGTTGATGAAATCTGTTAAGTCTTTAAGTAAATGCTAGAGTGTATTATATTTTTAACTGGACGAATTCTATGTTAAAACTTACAATTGAAACGGATGTAATTGACAAACATAATCTTAGAGGTCACCATGCGAGTTTATTGATTTCTAGATAAATCTAAAAATAGTGTAAACATCTATTTTTAGGATTCTAGTTATCTTTTATTAGTTATGTACGTATGTATGTGTGTGGTGAGTTTCGTTTTCTCTCTAGTTAGCATGGGCATTTTGATAGAGTGCTCGACTGCTAATTCGAAAATCTCAGGTTCTAATTCTAATGTCGGGTTCGAGTGCGGAATAGGGCTGGAATCCATCTGACGAATACAGACAACCTAGCTCGAATGAATACATGATTTACGTTAAGGAAAGTAATGCTCAGTATTCTGCTGACTACATAGTCCCTTTATATGCCAAGGTCACAGAAGCAGGTAAATTCTAATTCATCTGCACCAAGGACCCACACATTCTGAAGGGTAACTTTAATACTTTAAACATGTTTCACAGTGCATCTATATATATAATTCTCCTCTTCGAGCCGTTAGAAAACAAGCTGCAAACGCTCTCCCTACCTCCCCACTCCTACATGGTTTTAGTGAGCTGTGTTCACTCTAAATGTTTACAAGCAGAGCCAACGATTTTAAACGTAGGGGGGGGGGGGGGGGGGGAGGGGGGGGGGAGGAAGGGGGGGGGGGTTATGGTCCTTAACGAGCTACTTATAGTGTTTTAAAGAAATATTTTCAGTGTCAGCGTTGGTACTGTCGAATTCACAAATTATGAATTATTGAAAATTAGAAACAACTAAATAGCGGCGTATGTCATGCCGCGGGCCGGCTCGTATAGAATAGTTAAGTAACTCAAAATAAACAACATGTATGATACAATTAAACAGCGGTGAATGGTCAACTGTAGGCCTATGTTGTTAAATGTTCATGTTGTGTGAAGCTGAGACTGTTCATTTGGTCGTGTCTTATGTGGGTTTAAATAAAGTGAGCTGCCCAAAACCGAGTCTGATGGAGAGTATTGGCTGCTGCCCTTTGCTTCTCAGGGACTCTAATGAAATAAGTCAAAGTAAGTCAAGGCCTATGGTAGTTAAGATCTTGATGAAAGATGAAGTTGAGACTTTTTATTGGGTGTTGGCCCTGTATGAACACACCCATCTTGTGTTACCACTTCTCAAATCTAAGTGAGTTCACACCAGAGTCAGGTCAAGGGTTATGTCAGAAGGTCACCCCTGACCCAGTGGCCGACTTGTGGCCGGACACAGATTTTAAGAACGTGGGGTAACTGTTCGAGCACTCGGCCGCCGAGCGCTCCAAGAACCGCCCTCGAGAACCATTATGTGCTGAAAATTGTCGCTCGGCACGCACTCGTCATTACACATTACAGCGGTGAGGCATACAGCTGAGCAGCATACACAACGCTCTGTATCTGTCAACGACAATTTTTCTTTTAGCCCATTTCAGCTTCAATAATCATTCAACAAGCTAAATAGAACGAGATACCCCTACCCCACCTTCCTATGAACTCAGCATCGATACTCATTCAACCATCTAAATAAAACTAGGTACACCAACCCCCATCCCCATATAAACACAGCATCAATACTCATTCAACAAGCTACACAAAACTAGGTACCCCGACCCCATCTCTCTATGAACTCAGCACCAATACTCATTCAACCATCTAAATAAAACTAGGTACTTTACTATGATGATGCACATTAGGCAATATTAGAAACAAGTCAAAGTTACGAGTTAAGTAGAACAGCTAGCAGATAAGAATAAGTAGGAGCTAATGAGATGCGATATGACTCGTCACGTGTGACCGTCAGCTGACCAATCGTAAGGAGATGGTCAAAGTAAGCGCTGTTGAGAAAAGATGGCGGAGGTAGGAGAAAGTTACAATCCAGTAGCGCAGGTATTGTATATAAGTTAGGAGGTTAGGTTGAATAGATCGTAGTTTAACGTTATAGCGGAAAGCTGGATAGCAGAAGAGTATAGGATATTAAATGACAGCAGGGCTGGGAGTAGTATATTCGAACTTGTGTATAAATACAATGTAAATAAAATTGAACGTCTTAATAACCCCATATATATATATATATATATATATATATATATATATATATATATATATATATATATATATATATAATACAATATATTTCTATGTATAGATACATTACTCCTCTCACCACAGCCAACCCTTTATGAATGCAAACTCAATCATTTAAAAAAACAACTAGGTAACCCACTACGCACCTCTATGAATTAAGCTTCAAATACTCACTCAACCAGCTAAAAAAGAGGTACCCAGCCCAATTTAGCTTCACATACTCGATCAACTAGCTAAAAAAAAAGTACCCCACCCCTCTATGAATAAAGCTTCATATACTCACTCAACCAGCTAAAAAAAGTACCCCACCCCTCTACGAATAAAGTTTCATATACTCGATCAACTAGCTTTTAAAAAATGAGTACCCAACCCCTCTACGAATAAAGCTTCATATACTCACTTAACCAGCTAAAAAAACGAAATACCCCAACCCTCTGTCAATTGTAGTCGACTCCTAGCCATCAATCTACTGGGTAAATTACCTGAATAGATCATACTTATTCCTCGTACTCCGCCCCATTCCTATTACATTCTCCAGCCCCGAATTCAGCATCAACTCCATTGATTTGAATAAATTAGCCTAGTTCCAATTAATAACTTTGTTGCACTCTCTTTTGTAGATCGGCAAAGAAAGATTCTATTCTATGCCTCTACTCTATTCTCCACAATACACAACTCAAGATCGAACCATTCCATTCTATTTTCTAAGATATATGTCATGGAGCCCTGTTATAAGAAAACAATCGTCTACTAAAGAAAACTCTAAAAACTAACAGAAGAACAGGCACATGAGTTTTTAGTTTTCGCCAGGGTACAAAGTAACCTATGGAGTTACGTGGCGAGATGGTAGAGCGACGACTGCCAACAAGAAAGTCTAGATTTCGAATCCCATTTCTGAAGGGACTCGATAGCCTGACTAGAAATTAAGGGCGGCTGGGCATAATGCTGACACAAATCCCTACGTATGATGAGGCCATAGAAACAGATGGATTGCCAGTTCCCAAAGTGTAATTTTATTAAGTAACCTAAGTAGTTATAGAATAAACAACTGTATAATTAATACCAAAATATTGTTCTTTTAATCAACATTCGCTCATCTTAATTAATAGTTTTGGCAATAAAAATAATTATGAATTTAAGTAAGTAGGATCGTTATAGGCAACTCTAGTCGTTTGCTTCTGATTTGATACACATTGTAAACTATGTAAAGATATATTTAGCCAAAGTTTCTCATACAAGTATAAAATGTACAAACAAGTCGAATGAAAGTAAAATCAATTTAAAATGATAAGAAAGTTGTTAATCATTGCAACAGCTGTGCTATACACAACGATTACAGAAGTTTCCATTTTATTTTAGTATAATAAGAAATGTTTACGTTAAAATTGTGTTATAACAATTTTTTTCATTAAATAAAGTTAAAATTGTTAACATTTTAAAAATAATAATTGTTTCGTTGTTTACAACAGTTATTTAATAATAATATGTTATTGTTAATAGTAGTTTCGATAAATTGTTTGTATTTTATAAAATAACATTAAAAATGTTATTTAAATAACTTATTTAAAGTTGTTTTCATTTAACAACATAACATGCAAGAAAATTGTTTCATTAAAAATTCATCAAGTTTTAAAAAAACCAAATGTTAAGAAGAAACAAACATATGAATGAATGTTTTCATTTTAACAACATAACATGCAAGATAATTGTTTCGTTAACGATTCATCAAGTTTAAAAAAGCAAATGTTAAGAAGAAACAAACCTGGGAACTGTATGTTTTTATCTAACAACATAACATGCAATATCATTGTTTCGTTAACAATTCATCAAGTTTAAAAAAGCAAATGTTAAGAAGAAACAAACCTGGGAACTGTATGTTTTTATCTAACAACATAACATGCAATATCATTGTTTCGTTAACAATTCATCAAGTTTAAAAAAGCAAATGTTAAGAAGAAACAAACCTGGGAACTGAATGTTTCCTCCCAGAAACCGATGAAACAAGGCCATGGTGTACTCGTCAAACTCGTCGTCGATATACGGTAACGCCGAATTCCGTGGGTCATCGATATCCATAAGGCCATGGAGTGGCCACCGATTCAACAATGAAACTATGCCAAAGTTTGGTCATCAGTATGGTGTCCGCAGTTACGTCTCTTGGTTCCCGGTGCTGATCTCCCTTTAGTTTTTTCGCGGTTTTTTATTTGAACGCTATATTGTGTATCAGTGGCCACGGGTCAATGTTGTAAGCTGTGGTTAGATTTATGCTACTGGTGACAAGTTTTTTTTTCAATTTTTATTTACATGCTAGGTGTGTTACTTCCCTTTAGTTTATCTTTCAACACTATGTGTGTTACCTCCCTTCACAGTTTTTCAGCGATTATATTTAAAAGCTACATGTGTTATCTTCCTTAACAGTTTTTTATGGTTTTTATTTCAACACTAGGCGTATTACCCCCCTTCAAAGTTTATCACGGTTTTAATTAAATGTTAGGCTTGTTACCTCCCTTCACAATTTATCAATGTATTTATTTCAACCTAGGCATTTTACCTCCCTTCACTGTATATCACGGTTTTAATTAAAAATTAGGCGTGTTACCTCCCTTCACAGTATATCACACTTTTAATTAAAAATTAGGTGTGTTACATCCCTTCACAGTTTATCACGGATTTTATTAAATGCTATGCGTTACCTCCCTTTACAAGTTATCACGGTTTTAATTAAATTCTGGGTGTGTTACCTCCCTTAACAGTTTTTCACGGTTTTTAATCTTAAAACTCAGCGTGTTACCCCCCTTCACAATTTATCAATGTATTTATCTCAACCTAGGCATGTTACCTCCCTTCACAGTATATCACAGTTTTAATTAAAAAATTAGTCATGTTACCTCCCTTCACAGTATATCACATTTTTAATTAAAAATTAGTTGTGTTACATCCCTTCACAGTTTATCACGGATTTTATTAAATGCTATGCGTTACCTCCCTTCACAACCTATCACGGTTTTAATTAAATTCTAGGTGTGTTACCTCCCTTAACAGTTTTTCACGGTTTTTAATCTTAAAACTCGGCGTGTTACCTCCCTTCACAATTTATCAAGGTTTTTATTTCTACGCTAGGTGTGTCCTTGAACACGGATGAATGCAGTAATCAGTGGGTAGGTGTGTGCTACTAATGACCAGTTTTTCACAGTTGTATTTAAACGCTGCGCCTGTCCTTGGTCGCGGATCAATGGTGGACAAGAATCAATTTCTAATCAGTGGGTAGGTGTGTGCTAATGACGCCGTGTGCGCGTCGATTAACTGGATCAGTATCAAACCATTACATGACGAGAGTCTACGGCAAACACTGCCCGGACTAAGCGGTGTCTATGCCAGTCTTCGTTAATCGAATTTTGTGCTCTATAAAGTAGATATCAACGTTTCTACGGAGCTATTTTAACCAGTCATATCCTAGCCAGTAGACATCAATGTTTCTACAGAACTATTTTAACCAGTCATATCCTAGCCAGTAGACATCAATGTTTCTACAGAAATATTTTAACCAGTCATATCCTAGCCAGTAGATATTAATGTTTCTACAGAACTATTTTAACCAATAATATCATAGCCAGTCGATACCAATGTTTTCTAGAATATTTTTTTTTAACTAGTTACATTCTATAAGACGATCGTTGGAATTAATGGTTAGCTGCCAGATTTGTATGTCTGTCTACTCTTTTGTCCCCCTTTTAATTCAGATACAAATTTGTAAATATTGATTATACACATGAACAATAGCTTTGAAAGCACGCCAATATATTATACTTCATTTTTTTTTTTTTTTTTGTTATTTTAGAAAAATATTTCTTAATAAAAAAAAAACCTTTGAGACTGAATAATGAGAAATTCGACCAAGCGAAAAAAAAACAATTCAACTACAAATCCCCTCATTGTCTAAGAGTCAAAGTCACTATCGTTATATTTTTTAAGGCGCATTTGGCCGCATGAAACTACATGTAAATAGTGAAAAGGTTAATGTGTTTTTTATAGCTGAAGTATGTGCACTTGAATGCCACTTAAGAAGAGGATAGAAGTCGTTGCCAAATGAATTAAATTATAAAATTAGCAAACGGATATCCGCTTGTTATTATTGGGACGGGGAGATGAGCGGTGGAGTAAAACAAATGTAATGCACATTTGTTTCCCTTTGTGGGAGGTGGGTAAAGGAAAATATTCTCTCTGAATAGCACCTTAGCTCCCTCTCTCCACCTTATTATAAATTATTCTCTCTGAATAGCACCTTAGCTCCCTCTCTCCACCTTATTATAAATTATTCTCTCTGAATAGCACCTTAATCCCTCTCTCCGCCTAATTAAAATATTCTGTCTGAATAACACCTTAGCTCCCTCTCTCCACCTAATTAAAATATTGTCTCTGAATAGCACCTCTCACTTCTCCTTTCTAGCACCAAAATAAATCTACGACTAACATCTTAACACACCTCCCACCTCTCTCAGCCTTATTAAAATATTCTCTCTGAATAGCACCTTTTACTTCTCCTTTGTACCACCAAAAGAAACCTACGACTAACACATTAACACACCTCCCACCACCAAAATAAACCTACGACTAGCATCCTAACACCCTGCACCAATCTAATTATTTCCAAATAGCACCCCCCCCCCCACCATCACAAAAATATTCTCTGGGAATAGCCCATAAACTCCCACAACCCACTCCCCATACTTTTCATTTCGAATGCAAGAGATAAAACATCGCGCATATTACTATCGAGTGAGACCGGACTGATCCCTGCCCACCCTCCCCTACCACTCGTTGCACCAACCCCTCCCCCGGCCCCCTGCCCTCACATCCCTGTAATAAAACCTATCTCCATTACCAACACCAAATGTACATCCGGTCAAAGACTCCCACAATTCAACACGCGGGGGAAATTAATGTAAAATGTTTTTCATCAAAACAAAGCTGCCTCTACTGTATGCAATGTGTGGTAGTAAAACAGCAGTTTAAAACTAAATTAACATTAAATAGTAGTCGAGGATTTAAAAACACCAGCAGTCAATAAATTGTAAGATCGACGCATGATATCCTATCTCTTATAGACCAAAGTAATGATTCACTGGTCGCGTACAATGCAAACTTCATTAATCCCACAGAAGAAATCCATTCGAGATAACATTAACAACCTCGTTATTCACTCGGTTTTTTTAGAACCGGAAATTCTCCTAATGATATAAATAGACACTTGAAAAGAAAATTAAATCCCTCGTGTATTCGGAAATCGCCGATAAATAAAACCATGCGTCAGATAAATACACTGCATAGAAAAACATACTTTTTTTTTCTGAAAGCGCCGTCGATGAATTATGTGTATTAAGATGGAATACGCCTAAGAAATCTATGACACATTGTAACAAAACCGTGTAGGAAATAGATTAGATGTATCATAAGAGCACGCCACACTACGGTAAACCAGTCCAAAAAAAGCACATACGTATCGGCCAGCTGTTTAGTTGGCAACTGTTGTCTGCAAGAGGCCGAGCTATTATAAAACGTTTTTTTTTTCCCGTAAAGGGGCGCTATTTTGTGGCTTGTGGCAACAGAGATGGCAGAGCACAGTGGAGCAATGAATGAATGCATCACACACCAGCGCTCACACAGAAATGCGAAAGGACGCATTGATTGAGTTTTTTTGTTGTTTTTGGAGGAGTCAAAGTTTAACAGTCATGAATTGAACCACTGATTGAATTTTTTACTTTTTAAAAATTTTTTTGGAAAGTCAAAGTTGAACAAGGTCACGAATCGACACATTGATTGAAGTATTTTTTTATTTTTTTTTTTGTTGGTTTATGGAAGACTTATAGTTTTACAAAGTCACATTTTGACGAATTGATAGAATTATTTTTTTTTTAAATGTACTTTATTTTTTGGAATTCTTAGCTTTACTTTTTTGATTATTTTAATTTTTTTGAGGAGCTAAAGTTTTACAAAGTCAGGAACAGTGGTTTTTTTTTAAACTTTTTTTCTCCGGGTGCATTTGAAACTTTCGGAGATTGTACTAAATTTTCCGGGAGGGGGTGGAGGTGGGGTCTGAAGCGCACACTGGTAAAAGTCAGGAATATGTTGTTTTTTTCTGCTCCAGAGTTACAGAAACATGAAGCGGATGAAGCAGTGATAACGGTTAAAGTGAAATGAAGTTAAAGGTCCTGCGCTCTATCTCTTGGCCACTCAGTCCCATAGTGTAGAAAGATATTAGATCAGTGGTTCTTAAAATGGGTTCAATAGAACCCTAAGTGTTCCGCGAGGCAGTCTTATGGGTTCTCTGGAGGTCAAGACGCAATCTAATGATTTGCAATCAGATTTTGTCAGTGCGGACGATAGAACTACTAAGAAGGGTTCGATCATATCGATGAATATATATGAAACAGGTGGGGTTCGGTACCTTCAGAAAGGTTAAAAAGCACTGATTTATATACAAAGTCACTAGATTTTTTTTTTTTAATTGATATCATTAGTGACAAAGTTGTAAACAGTTTTTGTTCAAGGGTTGCAAAAAGTTTTTAGGATACATTTTTAAAAAAAATCACGTGGATATATTTAACAATACACGTGTTCATTTATAAGTTGTTAACTCTCCATAGTAAGTAGCCTGCTTCTTGAGAGAGATACAGTTGTGTAGAGCCCATATAATAAAAGGAGCTATTCATTGATTTAATATACCATAATACTAATGGTTTTTATTTTATAGCAAGTACTCGCCATTTATTGCATTTTGGGAAAAAATTCAAAGTATGGACTTTGAAAACAACGAAAAAGAATCGAATAACAACTATATATATATATATATATATATATATATATATATATATATATATATATATATATATATATTGGGGAAGGTGTGAACGTTTCGTAATTGATTTTAAGCATTGCTAAATATCAATACAGTATTAATACAGTATTAATACGATACAGATTAATAGATAGGCAACATAAATAACAACAACACAGCTATGTAACAAATGTCAAGACAAAACTAAAAACAGCTGGGCAACAAATATTCGGACAAAAAAAAAGCAAAGCTAGGCAACAAATATCTAAACAAAAACTACACAACTAGGTAAAAAAATGTCCAGATAAGAGCTACACATGAATAATGAATGAGGTCACATGACAAGGCTATGAACATCCAACCCGTGTGCAAATAAAAAATACATTTATTAGATTTGTTTTTTATTTTATAAACAAAAAATCTGCTAATCTAAAGTCAGGATGACACTTCTCGTGAAATCAATCACTTAGTTCTCGTTATATATATATAAATATATATATATATATATATATATATATATATATATATATATATATATATATATATATATATATATATATATATTCTGATTTAAACTTCAATCCAATACATATTGCCATTGCGTTTAATTGAGTTAGTTATACAGTTTTATACAACTAGATAGTCTGAACAGATAATTAATTATAAAACTAAAAGAAAAAAATATATAATAAGGTGTAGAAACTTTAGCCATTTTTTAGAATGACATTATAATGGCAAAAAGGACGCCGACATATCCATGTTTTAATGTCCCCCCCCCCCCACCCCAAATCTCCCATGGTAGTTCTCGTTAACAGGTTTCCCTGATATAAGAATCCCCAGACACCCCTTGCCTCCGGCATGCCACCCCTCACCCACCCCCATCATACGTTTCTTAGACACAGCTAATCCTCAGACATGCCACCCCCCTCCCCCATCCAATGGCTCTCGGACATAGATTCCCAGACACACCTACTATCGTGCGACATGCTTTTACCCACATCTCAAGACTCGAACAAATCACCCCAACTTTTCTTTCCTTTATTTTTAACACACACAAATTGTTTGGCAAACATGAGAATACGAGAAAAATGGCCCGTTGAGGAAGGGTACAACGGGCGCTAGGCTGATAGTGCTGTCTCTTTTCTCTAAACTAAAACCAACCCACCCCCCCCCACACACCACCCCCACCCTACCCCCCACCCCCA